TTCTTTCAGAGTTCACTGATTGGTCAATTTGATACAAAAAGAGAGAAGAAATGTGACTTTTTCATTTGTGCCGTATGTACAGACCTAATGAAAGGCACTGGTTGCCTAACATATATTAGTCACTTTGTTTATACTACATTAGGTCATTCAACCTAATGCAGGTAGAAATGTAGGGCTCTCACTTGGGTCTAAACTCATAAGGTGCTGTTATGCTTCCAGTATTTACTTGTTTACATTCAGAGTTTGCAACAGTACTGTTCAAGTGGTCCTAGTTCTTTTTCTGCCTCCTCATTATTGTTAAAGGTAGTCTGAAAAAGAGAGAAAAAATTATTCTGCCGTTCCCTCTCCCCCCTCCCCCTTTCCTCCTGCTCTTTATGAGAGCTAAAGAAAGCCTGACAGTGTTTTTCATTAGCACTTTTTTATTATCTTACCAACATCAGGAATAGAAAAACTGGTTTCACTGGAGAACTCCATGGAGGACTAGAAAGCTGGAGTGGGATCTCTCATCCCTCAGTTTAAGGGCATTTAAAGTTTTCCTCCAAAGTGTTTGTTGGGTTTTTTAGTGTTCATTTTTGGAATGAGAGGAAACTTCATCTTTGCAGTCACTGTACTTTTAGTGTTATTTGTCCTGTACCAAAGTGCCTAGGAACCTGAGGTGCCTAGAGGCTGGGACCGGCACTTCTATAAAATAGTTATAAATTGAAATAGTTCAGTCAATCGGGAAAGAAATAATCAGATTCCCTAGAACTCCGGATTCAAATGCCAGCAGGGTTGACTCAGCCTCTCATCTCAGTACCCTACTGTTTACTTTCTGGTCTTTTGGGTGGCACCTTAAAAAGTTAGGACCATTCTTTTCAAAATGTGGGTGCCTAAATCGAGGGCCAAAGTCCATATTCAGGCACCTAAACCGGAGTGACAAGTGAGTTTTTCAGAGATGGCGAGATACTACTCACATCGACTACCCTGGGAGCTGCAGTTGCTCAGGACCTCTGAAAATCGAGCCACACACTGAGGGATTTAAATAAAAAATTAGGTGCCTAACTTCAGACAATCACAGCTGAAAATTTTGCTTTAACATCCTTTCTTCTCTGCAAGAGCATTCAAGTTCCCATGGCTTTTCTAATAGAAGTAGGGGTTTGCCTTGATGTCCGTGGCCAAAGTATCCTCTCCTGTTACTAGAGAGCAGTGTGCCATGTGCCAGTTGTGTACCTAGCTGCCTTCGTCCTGCATTTCACTGGTGCTGTGTGAATTGATGGGGGATGAACATCACTGTAAAAATGCAAAGTATTATTGGCTGTTCCCCTACCTTCCTGTTGCTCCTGCATCTCTTTTCTTTTCTTTCCCCCCGCCCCCCCCCCCGCCTGCTACTTCCTCACCACATCTTAGGAATCCCATAAAACTCTGCTCCAGGCAGAGGAAGAAAGTTAGTTGCACTGTGCATAAACATGACGGGTTAGATCCTGGCCATATGGAAGTCAAAACACCCATTGATGTCCATTCAGGCAAAATTTCATTCCAGGACTTTAAATACCTTATACTGTGAGATTCTCACTCTCTCGCATTTGTTTTTAAGTTTGCAGTTCCTAAATAAGCTGGGACTTTAAAATCAGCACCATATAAAAATAAACAAAGGCCTATCCTCTCATATAAATTCTCGTTATTTATAGGGCTGTCAAGTGATTTAAAAAATGAAGGGGCATACAAACGTTTAGCATATCTGGCACGTAAATACCTTGCAACTCCAGCTACAAAAATGCCATGCAAACACCTGTTCTCACTTTCAGGTGACATTGTAAATAAGAAGCAGGTAGCAATATCTCCCGTAAATGTAAACAAACTTGTTTATCTGAGGGATTGGATGAACAAGAAGTAAGACCAAGTGGACTTGTAGGCTCTAAAGTTTTATGTTTTTGTTTTTGAGTGCAGTTATGTAACAAAAAAAATCTACATTTGTAAATTGCACTTTCACAACAAAGAAATTGCACTACAGTACTTGTATGAGCTGAATTGCAAAATACTATTTCTTTTATCATTTTTACAGTGCAAATATTTGTAATAAAAAATAATAATATAAAGTGAGCACTGTACACTTTCATATTCTGTGTTGTAATAGAAATCAATATATTTGAAAATGTAGAAACACATCCAAAATATTTAGTAAATTTCAATTGGTATTCTATTGTTTAACAGTGCGATTAATTGCAATTAATTTTTAATCATGATTTTATTTAGTTAATTGTGTGAGTTAACTGCAATTAATCGACAGCCCTAGTTATTTATGCATGATTCTTACCACTAAGCAGTTTAACCTAGAAATGAAGAGCTTTACATGAGTATGTTGTAAGGATTCATTATTCCTTACATTTTGCCCATAGTATAAAGGTTTGCAGGCTATGGCTTCAAATTCAAATCTGCTTTCTGTGATTTTGAAGCCTCTAATTGAAAGAGAGAATAAATAAAGTGATTAGAATGTAATAAAGGTATTCCAGAATCCTACAAAAATGGTGGTAGTCTGCATTCACTGTATTTTAATTTAAAACAGTCAGGCAAAAGTAGTTTTCATCAACTATTGATTTATCAGTATCCTTAATTTCATGATCGCTGTGTTCTAATTAAATAACATTCAAATGTCATAAATTTTATATCCCTCACTTAACATTGACTACAGGGGTTTTTAATGGCTCTCTCGCACCTTCAAATCTCTCACGGTACCAGTACAATCAATATGATTCTCCAGGTTCCCCTGGTTGATGTTGGATTATTGAAGTGCTTTCTGTCCTACTTTGATGTCATGCAGAAATGTAGCCACTTGAGATTTAACTCATAGAGAGCTGGCATTTTTCCAAGTAGCTAGCTACATCAATGCAGCAAGAGAATGTTTACTGGTACATACAATATTTTGGGGTTAATATAGAATGTGAAAGTGTTTAATGAAGAACTAATTTTTATTGGCATAAAGAAAATAATATTGGTTGGGAAAAATTTATGCTCAATCTCTGTTAATATTCACGATTACAAAGGCTCGTCAGGAGGAAAAAAATGTGCACAGGATGCACTTCCATGGCAGAAACACAGTTTAAACACACAGGAGAGTGCTATCTATTACTAGGTTGCTTATTCATTTTAAACAAGTAACTTTAAACAACCACTTTTAAAGCAGTCTTTCCTGGGAAGTCTCATTGGCCAGGAGGGTGCCCAGACAGCGTGGTTTACCAATTACCGAACTAAAGCGCCAACCTGAAGCATATTCTCACCAACAACTATACACCACACCATAGTAACTCTAACTCAGGAACCAATCCATGCAACAAACCTCGATGCCAACTCTGCCTACATAGCTACACCAGCGACACCATCACAGGACCTAACCAGATCAGCCACACCATCACCGGTTCATTCACCTGCACGTTCACCAATGTAATATACACCATCTTGTGCCAGCAATGCCCCTCAGCAATCGGCCAAACTGGACAGTCCCTACATAAAAGGATAAATGGACACAAATCAGATATTAGGAATGGCAATATACAAAAACCTGTAGGAGAACACCTCCCTGGACACACAATAGCAGATTTAAAGGTAGCCATCCTGCAGCAAAAAAAACTTCAGGACCAGACTTCAAAGAGAAACTGCTGAGCTTCAGTTCATTTGCAAATTTAACACCATCAGCTCAGGATTAAACAAAGACTGTGAATGGCTCGCCAACTACAAAAGCAGTTTCTCCTCCCTTGGTGTTCACACCTCAACTGCTAGAAGAGGGCCACATCCTCCCTGATTGAACTAACCTCGTTATCCCTAGCCTGATTCTTGCTTGCGTATTTATATCTGCCTCTGGAAATTTCCACTACATGCATCCGACAAAGTGGGTATTCACGCACGAAAGCTTATGCTCCAATATGTCTGTTAGTCTATAAGGTGCCACAGGACTCTTTGCCGCTTTTACAGATCCAGACTAACATGGCTACCCTTCTGAATCTTAGTAGAGTGGATTTATATGTTTGTATGCAGAATTTACAAACTTAGGCCCTGATTCTGCATTGGATTTGCTAGCACTGACTCCCAAGCCCACACAGAGTCCTGCTGGCTTCAGTAGGTTTCTGCACTGAAGACGGGCATGTAAAGTACTCTGTTGTTGCTTTGGGGACACTGTCTATAGTTTCTCCAGGTATGGAAGCAGACTGAAGATTTACGTTTTATGTTTTCCCTTTAAAGTGAATTTGTCTCCTGATCCTATCAGGAACATCCTCTCAAGACAAATAGATGTATTGGTCTGTTTCCCAGAAGAAACCCTGTTATAACAATTAAATTATTTGCCATTCTTATGTAACATGTTTAAATGATTCCTTAAATAGATTAGTTTGAAATGAGAATTTGACTGCTGTGTCCAAATGGTCCAATTTACAAGACTCTGGAGGTTTTATCATAGATTTTTTTTTTTTTAGTTCATCATCTTAAAAATCACACTTCTGTCTGAAATCATATTGCCACAAGTAATGCCTATGATTGCTGTAACTGAACAAGATTAGGAGGAAAGTTCTCTGGGGGTGTGTGCATGCACACATTTGACTGCACTTTATGCAGTCAGTTTCACTGTATTCACTTGTATTATCAAGGACCCAATTCACTTCCCATTGAAGCTAGTGTAAAATGAAGTGTCATTCTTCCATTGCCTTCAGTGAAGTTGGACTGAGACTTTAGTTAGCCAGTTTTTCCCTGTTTGCGTGGGACTTTCATACGGCAATGAAGGGGAGGAATACATGTAAAAATACAAGAAAAGGTCATTGTAAAACCACAACCATTGCCACGGAAACTCAGCAAATAGTGTAGAAACAAACTATTTTTATAGTTTAGTGAAACTCTTTGGAAAGACTGGATTTCAAGTTGTCAATGTCCCTGTAATCTAATGTGCCTGTTTTCCAAGTTAATGTGGACTATGTGACAAACACCAGCCAGTTACAGACATGAGTCATAATAATGGTTTTTGTTTCTCTTTGTTTCAGTTGTTCGAGTTCATGAATTTCTTGGCTGAGAATGTCATCTTCTGTTACATGGGGCTTGCATTATTCACATTCCAAAATCATATATTTAATGCTCTCTTTATATTTGGGGCATTTGTATCCTTTACTTTAAGTATCTTCAAAAATGACTGTTTGGGGTGAAAAAAATTAAAATCAAGTAAACAAAAGTCTTTTTAAAACGCTAAAAATAAATTGTTTGTAGGGTTCAAATTGAAGAGGAAGGCAGGCATTTGGCTTTGTTTTAATATGTACATTTCAGTAACTCACTTAATGGACCTAAAGAGATGATTTGTTGGCATGAACCGTAACATTTTGCAGACCTGTTGCAATGTGCAAAGCTTAAGGCAAATCTCTCATTTCTTACATTCTTTTTATATACATGGAACTCCCACTGATGTTGATGTCATATAGGCCGAGACATGGAGGTTTTGCCCTTAGTTCTTTCATGTTTCCTCAGTGCCACGTATCAGTCTGGAATGCCATACAATGACTCCTTCCCCCTGCCCTCCCCAAACAAAAGCCCTTTGCTTGTTACTTTTTGATGAATTGCAGTAGCTTCACAAACAGGGACTTTACAACTTGCTTGCTTGCATTTACTTTTAGATGTAACTTCCAAATTGATATTAAAACCCAAATTATGGCTCCCCTAGTACAGGTTATTTTAGAGGGCAGAAAGGACTCAAGGAGCCTGGTACCCCCATAACTACACAGAGGCAAATATAATATGACTGTCCCTAACCTAAGCAATGGAGGACTGCTAGAGCTGACAGCAGCAAAGGGACCATGACCCATGAACCAGCCAACAAGCTGGTTCAAGGCTATGCTAGACAGACATACAGGGGCTATGTGATCTACAAGTGTGGTAACTGCTGTGTGTGCTCTCCCAAACCCCTAACAGCACTGTGCCTGCTCCTGGACTCTGCAGGCATAATGCTTCCAGACACTCAGGTGCGTCACCTCCTCTTTCATCCACAGCATGTCTCAGGCTTACAGCCATAATTGAGCCCTAGGATTTACAAGGTGAGGGTAGGGAGGAACCTCCTTATGAGCAAGGTTTCCATATAGAATTAGTTGTGATTTTTTTTTCTCCTGATTTTTCTAAAATATCTATTCAGGAAACTTTTTGTACTAGATACACAGAGGGATAATATAAAAATCCCTTTCTAAAGTCTACACAAGGAAAATAAAAAAGGAAAGACATGAAGATAAAGATATGCCCCACACAAATTGTGAGGAAAGAAGACGGTAATCATGTCCAAAAATACATCTAGCCTTCCTAAATTGCCATTGAAAGAGATAATGCCATTTCCATTGGAATAATTTATGGTGTGCATTTTACTGAAGGGTTGAAGACGTAGTCATATGTGATGAGTTAATGAACAGTGAGTGAAGTGATGTACAGGATAAGGAGCTCAAAACTAAGATGGTTGAAGAGAGCCAAACTCTGCCCCTAAATGGGTCTATAATGAAACTGGCAAGATTGTGGCTGGATAGCTAAAATCTGAAATTATGAATTATGCTCAACAATCATTTAATAGTGTGTTTATTCTAACTTCATGTTCAAGATATTCACCTGGAGAAAGTTTATTAGCTCAGTTTTCCTGTTTCCCCATGGCCATTTTCCTCAGCATCTCACATTTAACCTTATAGGTGGCAATTTTCATAGCAAGAGCATGCAACATATACCCACTTTCTTTCATTCTGAATTTGGGTCGAAAACAAAAGATTCCCAGGAACTTTCAACACATGATGATGTTTTCAGGTAAGTGCCACTATACTTTTGTATCTACGTTTTCTAACACCTGACCTAGAATAAAGGCAGAGAAAGTTATTTTCTGGCAAGAAGACAAAAGGTCTAGATACGCACGTGCAGGCTGAGCCAAAGCCCATTGAAGTCAATGACAGACTTTGAATAGTTCCATGATCATTTAGGTGCTTGTGTGTAAATGTGTATTAATTATTTTAGTTACCTATGAAGCAAAATAATGTAGGAAACCCATTACTTAAGTTACCCATTTCAAAACTCATTGTCCATCTCCATCTCGCAACATCCTTTCCTATTTTGGGAATATTTTATTCCAGTGTTAGGCACCCAAACTACTCCTGGTAGTATGCTTATGTTACACGCAAGGAAATTAATTTCCTGTACTGTCTCTTTCTGAGAGAGGGTGGTATTCTTCATAGATACCCACTCACCAATCATGTGGTCTCCCACCACTCTCCCTAACTTAAAGATCATTTTTACTCTGAAAAGTGACTGTAAAAATAACAGCTTTTTATTCAATAGGCCTGCTCCTTCTATGGATTCAGTCTAATAGCTGACTGCTTTACTTACTAACCTAAAGTTGTAGTGATTTTAACAGCTGTTAGTACTGCAGAACCAAAGCAGATCTGGAGAGGGTGCTGAATTCTATTCTGATTTGTGCATCATCCACAGAATTATTAAATCCCAACTGCAATCTCTTTATTCCTAGACATACATGAGGCAGAAATATCTCAGCTTGACTCTCTGATTGCAGGGAAGGTTTGTAGGATTGGCTGGTAGAACCCCCCCCCCCCAAAAAAAAAACACAACATTTTTCACTTGTTAAATGAGCTCATTTGACCTTTGAGAGAGATGAATATGGAACACACAGCGCCATTTTTGCAAAGTTGCTTTCCAGCGTGGAACTATACCCCAGGCAAGTTTCTGAAGCGTTCTTCCAAAGCTACAATACATGCTTCCCCATACTTCTCCATCAATTGGTCTCATTTCTGACTTGAAAGAACCGTGCCTTTAGGGGAGAGATGTTAGTTCATTTCCACGCCCACTCATCCTCTTCACTAAAACTACCAATGATATTGCCAATTAATGCCAGGTGGATGCGGGGGAAGGGCCGATTGTGATGTAGACACTTATCCATTAGGAACTAGATTTCAGACCTCCTGGTCATTTCAAATAGACAGCTATGTGCCAATTATATGGTAACAGTTTCTGTTAGCTAGCATCCTGAGCTGGATTCATTTCAGCAATATAGAGATGAAAGTCTCCATATCTGGTTAATTACCAATCTCCTGACCCATGTATTCCCTTGGTTCTTGTAAATTTCTACTTCTGGCTTTTGGATCCCATTTTCCCCTTGATTTTGTCTTTGAAAGCAGAGTATGGATTGAAGGATTTTAGAATAACTTTTTCTTCATCTTTCACTTTTCTTATTTTGTCCAATCTAATCTCACATTCCACAGAACCAGAAGTGGAAAGGTTATCTGCAGCCAACAACTGAGTGAGAACTCTCACTTGTGCATTCGGTTTCACTTTTCAACTAATATCTGTCAGAGAACTGAAAATGCCAATATTTAAAGCTCCCGATATATGTAGTACTTTATTTCAAAAACAATCAGAATGCGAATTCTTAAATGTCTTTACATTAAAATATTTTATTTCATTAAGATAAAAATGTTTTCATAAAAGCAAATGACATATTGCAAGTAGGGCAGTAACAACTGATTAACTGCACTTCTCACATGCTTCTCACACTGCCTTAAGCTTCATGCATCACAACATTCTCAAGGCATGCGGGTTTCCAATATAATTGTACCCCGATGTGTGTTAACAACTATAGCCCACAGTCACCTCGTGTCTTCACATACAGAATAAACAGTATATACTGAGTACAGCTATATACAGAGAAAATGATGATTTCAAGAAAGACAAGCACATTTCTAAGTCCACTAAACCAGGGTAGAGTTTGGCCTCAAAGGTACAGATATATTTTCTAGCTAAAAGGTCTTCAGACCTCCTCCAGTGATTGCAATTGACGGTATATAGAACTAAACTTAATTTTTGGCTCTTCTCAATTAAAATCAAGAAGCTCATGAGAGGAACTGTAATGAATTCTGCAAAGCCTCATAAACCAAAGGATGGATAGATACTTGGAGACCTTTCTGATGAGTGGTTTTGTTTGGTAAACACACACTTACCACGAAATTCATCCAGAGTTTATCATGGCCTACGATGGAGTATACAAACCCCCACACTGGGCTGGAAGAAGTTAAACAACAGTACTGAGGCCAGCTAGCCCCTTCCTCCAGTCCTGCAGAGCATGTTCCAACTGGGCAGGGTTGAAAAGGGAGCAACCCAGCTCAGAAGGGAGAGGCTGAGGAGGACAGACCTACCCTGAAGGCTCCTGGCAGATGGGTTGAAGAAGCCTCTCTGAGGGAATAGGACTATATGCTGAGCCTGGTTGGGGTTAACAGTTTGGTTTATTTTTCTTTTACCTTGTCTGGGGCCAGAAACTGAGTGAGGAAAACAGTGATAGGAAGTGACCCATGGAGGGTAACTCAGAGGGCCACTTGGAGGTCAAATGCTGCTGATCCTCCTAGGACCCTGGGTTGAAGTCTGGTGGAGAAGGTGGGCCTGGACTTCCCTACCACCACCCCCACTACTGGGTGGGCGCTAACCACTACTACATCCAGCCCACCAAATACCCTATTACATGGCCCTTTAGGGGCTTAGAGCACCAGGACTTGCAAACTTTACATCAAATCATAAGTCTTGATCTGCCATCCTTACTCACATTGCAGAGTGAGGTATTCCTGAAGTATTCCCATTGATTTCCCCTTAATTCCAGTAGGACTATCCTATTCTATTTAGGTTTCTATACCCTGCTCATCACCATAATATCTGAGCACCTTCTGGTAGTGTATGAAGCCATGTGATTGCACATCTGTCTCATAGTGTTTGTTTTCTAACCTGCTCCCCAGAGGTGTATCTTGTTTTGCTAGGGTGTATCTTTTACTTATTTACACACACCCACGCAGACCCCTATTGCTATGTGTTTACATTAGAGAAGGCAAAGTCCAAGAAATTTTGTTCAATATCTTCATAAATGATCTGGAGGATGGTGTGGATTGCACTCTCAGCAAATTTGCGGATGATACTAAACTGGGAGGAGTGGTAGATACGCTGGAGGGCAGGGATAGGATACAGAGGGACCTAGACAAATTGGAGGATTGGGCCAAAAAATCTGATGCGGTTCAATAAGGATAAGTGCAGGGTCCTGCACTTAGGATGGAAGAACCCAATGCACAGCTACAGACTAGGGACCGAATGGCTAGGCAGCAGTTCTGCGGAAAAGGACCTAGGGGTGACAGTGGACGAGAAGCTGGATATGAGTCAGCAGTGTGCCCTTGTTGCCAAGAAGGCCAATGGCATTTTGGGGTGTATAAGTAGGGGCATAGCGAGCAGATCGAGGGACGTGATCGTTCCCCTCTATTCGACATTGGTGAGGCCTCTTCTGGAGTACTGTGTCCAGTTTTGGGCCCCACACTACAAGAAGGATGTGGATAAATTGGAGAGAGTCCGGTGAAGGGCAACAAAAGTGATCAGGGGTCTGGAACACATGACTCATGAGGAGAGGCTGAGGGAACTGGGATTGTTTAGTCTGCAGAAGAGAAGAATGAGGGGGGATTTGATAGCTGCTTTCAACTACCTGAGAGGTGGTTCCAGAGAGGATGGTTCTAGACTATTCTCAGTGGTAGAAGAGGACAGGACAAGGAGTAATGGTCTCAAGTTGCAGTGGGGGAGGTTTAGGTTGGATATTAGGAAAAACATTTTCACTAGGAGGGTGGTGAAACACTGGAATGCGTTACCTAGGGAGGTGGTGGAATCTCCTTCCTTAGAAGTTTTTAAGGTCAGGCTTGACAAAGCTCTGGCTGGGATGATTTAATTGGGGATTGGTCTTGCTTTGAGCAGGGGGTTGGATAGATGACCTCCTGAGGTCCCTTCCAACCCTGATATTCTATGATTCTATGAAATGTGCCTTGCACTTGAAGTGCAAAGTTGTGAGGTTTATGATAGTCCTTAGTTCCTGTAGGAGTTCATTCCACAACCTTGGACTGTTCCCCAAAAAGTTCTGTCCCTTGCACAGATTAGCCTTATTCTTGTTGTCGAGGGTTTCATTGTGCCAGAGGAGTGTAGTTGTCACCCCAGTCTTTGTCCAGGAGCTTTTAGATGGTCTTTTAGATATCCTGGGCCTGGGCCATGGAGCGCTGTGAAGGTAAGGACTAAGACCTTGAACTGGATTCAGTATTCATGGGAAGCCAGTATAGAGAGTGGAGGTCAGGTCTGATGTGTTCCTGATGTCCATTTCTGATGCCTTCAACCCAGTGCTCTGAGGGTGGCATTGGCATTGGAATCATCCAGGGGTGATGCTTTCCAGGACTATCCAGGATTGTGAGGCACCTTGCTACCACATGCCCTTAGCATGAGGAAGCCTTATCCATGCCTACTGGGGGTCAGCTCCCCAACTCCACTGGCCACGGACAACACAAACACTTCCCTCTAGGCCTTGCTGGTTTGTTTGTTTTTAAACAGTTTAGCAATTGTCACACTCCAACCCTTGATCCTGCCAAGCATCTCCCTGCAGTGTCCAGCCCCTAGTCCACTGGACACTCTCAGTATTCACAGATTTGCTGCTTCCAGAGAAACAGGACATGCCACCTAACCAATTCCACCACACATCACCACTCTGCTGAACGCCCAGCACTTAGATATGTTTATAGTGAAAACAAATATGTTTAACAAAGCATAGTTTCAATAGCAAGTAGAAGTGTTGGAAACAAATGGTTACATATGAAATAGAATCATAACGTGCATTCTAGAGCCTAGACTTTAATATCTAGATACTCTCATGCCTCATAGAGTAATAGTCACCCAAAATCCTGGCAGTGCTGTGGCCAGGTTTGGCTGTGGCCTCCTTTCGTGAGATAGACATGCTGTCA